GTTAACTCTGATGTTCTTTCTCATGGGTATTTCACCCAGCTCTGTGGTCGTACTCTTGGATCCTGTCTTGTCTTCTCTCCATCTCTTGCCCATTGATACCTTCCCGATCTCTCTCAACACAATCCCACCTCTCCCATGTCTGTCTGTATACAGCTCCCCCCACCCCCTCTGTCTAACATGTTTTCTGTTTCTCTCCCTCTCCCTGTCTCTGCTTCTGTCTCCTTTCCTCACTCTTCTTCCCCTTCCCCCTGGTTGTTCCTCCTCCTCTTCCTCTGCCTCCTCCTCCTCTCCCCTGCCCCCATCTCCCCTTGATCCATCCACTGCATAGTCTAAGGAGCTGCAGATCAAGAAGCAGTTCCAGGAGACGTGTAAGATCCAGACTCGGCAGTACAAGGCCCTGCGGGCACACTTGTTGGAGACCACACCCAAGGCTCAGCACAAGAGCCTCCTTAAGCGACTCAAGGAAGAACAGACCCGCAAGCTGGCGATCTTGGCCGAGCAGTATGACCAGTCCATCTCAGAGATGCTCAGCTCACAGGCGGTGAGGCCTGGGGTTCAGGGAGGGAGCACAGAATGGAGGTTCACGTCTGTATTTCCACCTTAGTTATAGGCAATGGGAGATGGGGGTTGTGGACAGAACTAGGGCTTTTTGTACTTGGGAAACTCGCTCACTATTAGTATTCTTTCCAATGGTTTTATTATTTCATATTCTCTGCAATTATTTTCTTCTTAGTATTGTTTAAAGTCTAGACAAAGCCATCCTGTCTACCAAGAGCCCCTAAGAAAAGAATGGCTATTATTTTTCCTGGGCCTAAGTTAGTTTAATATGTGAACAAGGAGCAAATTAAAATGAGTATGGGCTTCGCGCCTGGGGCTCAAGTGGCTAACGTGCTAGCCACATACCTGAGCTGGCCGGTTCAAATCCAGCCTGGGCCTGCCAAACAGTGATGGCTACAACCAAAAAATGGCCGGGTGTTGTGGCAGGTGCCTATAGTCCCAACTACTTGGGAGGTAGAGGCAGGAGAATCGCTTGAGCCCAGGAGGAATTGGAGGTTGCTGTGATGCCATGGCACTCTGCCCAGGATGACAGCTTGAGGCTCTGTCTCAAAAAAATAAAATAAAATGAGTATGGCCCTCAGACCAATTTATTTAGACTGATAAAGAAGTTTGAAGGTTACTATTCTAAAAAGTTGGCCAGGCATGGTGGTTCACACCTGTAATCCTAACACTTTGGGAAGTTGAGATGGGAGGACTGCTTGAGCCCAGGAGTTTGAGGCCAGCCTGGACAACATAGCAAGACCCCATCTCTTAAAAAAAAAAATAGAAAAATTAGGGCTGGGTATAAAGTGGCTCATGCCTGTAATCACAGCACTTGGGAGGCCGAGGTGGGTGGATTGCCTGAGATCACAGGTTTGAAACCAGCCTGAGCAAGAGCAAGACCCCAGTCTCTAAAAATAGCTGGGCATTGTGGCAGGTGCCTATAGTCCCAGCTACTTGGGAGGCTACTTGAGCCCAAGAGTCTGAGGTTGCTGTGAGCTATAATGCCCATGGCACTCTATGATGCCAGGGCGACTCCATCTCAAAAGAAAAAGAAAAATTAGCCAGTCATGGTGACATGTCTATAGTCCCATAGCTACTTAGGAGGCTGAGGCAGGAGGATCTTTTAAACCCAGGAGTGTGATGTTGCAGTGAGCTATGATGATGCCACTGCACTCCAGCCTGGGTGACAGAGCAAGAACCTGTCTCAAAAAAAAAAAAACCATATATAACACTAAGAGTGAGCCACTTAAAAGGTACATAGGTTGTAAAAAGTGAAAGTGCCCCACTGGTGACCATTCTGTGAACCAGTCTCACTTCTCAGAGGTGACTTGTTAATAATTAATTGTATAGTAGAACCTCAATAGTTGACCACCTCCCTACACTGACCACCTCAAGTTGACTTAATTTTCATACATACCAGTACAATAGGCTTAGTTCCTTACGTTGACCACCTTCCTGGGTTGACCAGTTTTATACAGTCCTTTGGGTGGTCAACTTACAGAGGTTCTACTGTATTTTAGACTTTTTCCAGTGCATATTTGAAAATTTACATAAAAATTTTTTTTTTTTGAGATGAAGTCTAAGTTGCCCGTGGTGGAGTGCTATGGCGTCACAGCTCACAGCAACCTCAAACTGTTGGGCTTAAGCGAGTCTTGCCTCAGCCTCCCAAGTAGCTGGGACCACAGGCACCCACCACAACGCCCAGCTATTTCTTTTTTTCTTTTTTTTTTTTTTGTAGTTGTCATTGTTTGGCAGGCCTAGGCTGGGTTTCAACCTGCCAGCCCTGATGTATGTGTCTGGTTCCCTAGCCGCTGAGCTATAGGTGCCAAGCCAACATAAAATTTTTAAACACAAATGGAATCATACTTTACATACTGTTCTCTAACTTTTTTTTCCCACTTAATATTTCTTAGACATCTTCCCATATCACTACACATATCTCATTTTTTTACAGCATAGAATTTTCCATGGTATGGCTGTACCATAATTTATTTAACCCATCCCTTATTGGTGGACATTTAGGTTGTTTCCAGTATTTTGCTATCACAACGCTTCCGTGAGCACCTCGAGCACATGTGCAAGTATACCTGGGGGATAGATTCCTGCAGTGTAATTGCTGTGCCACAGGGTATGACCATCTTCCATTCTGGTAGATGTTGAGACTGCTGCTTCTTGAAACCTTAGGGCCCAGGCCTACCTGGGGCATGGGAGGATTGTGGGGATCAGGGAGGAGATTCCTACAACTGGTCCTTCTTGTCCTCCAGCTGCGGCTTGATGAGACCCAGGAGGCAGAGTTCCAGGCCCTTCGACAGCAGCTTCAACAGGAGCTAGAGCTCCTTAATGCTTACCAGAGCAAGATAAAGATTCGAACGGAGAGTCAGCATGAGCGGGAGCTACGGGAACTGGAGCAGAGAGTAGCTCTGAGGAGGGCATTGCTGGAGCAGCGGGTAAGGGGCTCAGCCTTCAGGGTGGAAAGGGCAGGCTACCTGCCTTGGATGCTCTGACCTCTGTTCTGGGTGCCCCAGGTGGAAGAAGAGCTGCTGGCCCTGCAGACTGGGCGCTCGGAGCGAATCCGGAGTCTGCTTGAGAGGCAGGCCCGTGAGATTGAGGCCTTCGATGCTGAGAGCATGAGGCTGGGCTTCTCCAGCATGGCTCTGGGAGGCATCCCAGCTGAGGCTGCTGCCCAGGGCTATCCTGCCCCACCCCCTGCCCCTGCGTGGCCCTCCCGTCCTGTTCCTCGTTCAGGGGCACACTGGAGCCACGGCCCTCCCCCACCAGGCATGCCCCCCCCAGCCTGGCGTCAGCCATCTCTGCTGGCACCTCCAGGTCCCCCAAACTGGCTGGGGCCGCCAACACAAAGTGGAACACCCCGTGGTGGAGCCCTGCTGCTGCTAAGAAACAGCCCCCAGCCTCTGCGGCGGGCAGCCTCAGGGGGCAGTGGCAGTGAGAATGTGGGCCCACCTGCTGCCGCTGTGCCAGGGCCCCTAAGCCGCAGCACCAGTGTTGCTTCCCATATCCTCAATGGTTCTTCCCACTTCTATTCCTGAAGTGCAGGGTAGATGAGCAGATGAGTGGGGCAGGGGTGGGTAGAGCCCACCATCCTGGAGGGCAGTAAGCTTGAGGCCCATCAAAGGGGAGGGGACAGGATACTAGCTCCAGCTCCCCTCAGACCTCCTCATCTCATGAGCTTCATGGGGCTAGCCAGTGGCCCAGGGCCAGCTTGGGCATAGGTGCCTCAAGGCTGACCAGGAGCCCTGCCTCCCCACCATGGTGCCAGGGTCTCCCTCCATCACCGCCTGGGAAGAGGGAGATGTACGTGTCAAATATTCATCTAGTCCCCTGGGGGAGGGGAAGGGCGGGTCTAGATATATTATATTCAGAGAATTATACTACCCTCACAGTGGGGCCACGGACTGGGGACAATGGGGCCCCCAGAGCCGGGACATGGCAGAGCAGGTCTGGGTCCTGAGGCGGGAGAATGGGAGGCAGCCTTCCTATGAAAGGATCAGGATGGGGTCTTGGTGTCAGAATGCCTGGGTCTCTCCATTCCCCCATTGCTGTCTGACGTCCTGTGCCGTCTTGTCCTTTTTTTTTTTTTTTTTTTTAATTGGGAACAGAGCTGGGGCGGGGGAACAGGAAGGACCTTGGAAGGGGCTGCTCCTTGGCCTGGGTGCAGTCAAGGGAGCCTCTGTCAGCTGGGGGCTGGCACAGAACCCCAGGGCAAGCTTTTAATAAACTGTTGGTTACTCTAACAGACCCCAGGACTCAACCCTTCTGTCTAAGGTGTATAAGGAATGTTTAGTGGCAAGTGGTGTTATTACTTGTATTTAAAGAGTTTATTGGGCTATGTAACTAAAAATTTCAGTGATTTTAGTGACTGGATTCAGGGCCTTAAAGGTCATCAATCTAACCTAAGTTCCTCTGGTTTCAAAGATTCTTAGAAGGTTCATGTCACACACAGACCCCCTGCAGATCCAAGCTTACATCTTACTAGCAACCCTCAAAAGCAAGAGTTTCCGCAGAGGCTTGAAGTGACTTCATTGGCTGGATCTTAGGGGCTTGAAGTGCTGATTGCTAATTGGTTGATACAGTTGTGTACCCTCCCCTTTAAGTATGAAAGAGTCAGCCCCCTCAGGGGGCTAAGTGGCTGTTTCCAGAAAGGGGAAGGAAAATACACACACAGATGTCCTCAAGTCATTTTGTGCTTCACATTTTTAAGGCCAGTTATTCACATCCTCCTCCCAGCTGGGTTTTAAAAGACCAGCTAAAAGGATGACAGAGGGGCATGCTACCGTTATGCTCAAGTTAGGAGGGAGGAAGAGGCCATCATTCAGTAGGGCTTGATGGCAAGATCTGGAGGTTGGGACTCATTTGGGAACTTGGGGAAATTAAAGGGACCAGACCAAGGGAGCAGGTGGGAGGCAGAGGCCACTCTTCAGCCCCCTGGAGTTGGGGACCAGTTTTGACAAGATGATTACAAACACTCCTTTATTGAGTCTTAAAAAATAAACACTTGTAAACATCTTAAACAGGGAATTTGAAGCTCAGAAGTAGTGTCCCAACAACTTTTGTCCGTGGGAACTGAAGAAAGCTGCTTCTGCTTTGTACCACGTTATACACATGTGCTTTATACACATGGAAAGGGTCTGTCCTGGGAAGTGGGGGATTCAGTTACTCTCGCCATCACTGCTGATTATACCGCGCATATGTGACCAATCTGGGGGTGCAGGGCGGGGCTGTTCTTCCTCTGAGTCTAGAGCCCTGCGATGTAGTTCCCCTAACGGTGCTGCTTGTCCTAAAGAGTTCCAGGCTGTATGTCTGCGTGGCCGGCCTAGGGGAGAAGGGAAATGGGATATCAGTTGTTTAAGAAAGTCCAGGGCAGGCTTGGCGCCTGTGGCTCAAGTGGCTAAGGCACCAGCCACATACACCTAAGGTGGCAGGTTCAAATCCAACCCAGGGCCCGCCAAATAACGTTAGCTGCAACCAAAAAAAAAAAAAAACAACAACCAGGCATTGTGGTGGGCGCCTGTGGTTCCAGCTACTTGGGAGGCGGAGGCAGGAGACTCACTTGAGCCCAGGAGTTGGAGGCTGCTGTGAGCTGTGATGCCACAGCACTCTACCCAGGAGGACAGCTTGAGGCTCTGTCTCAAAAAAAGAAGAAAGAAAGAAAGTCTGGGGCAACCCTACCCTGCTCCTGGGCAATGAGAAGCCCTTACCTGAATAGCTGATGATATTGGCAACATCCAAGGAGGCCATCTCAGCCGCCTCCTCCCGCTGCTCCTTCAGAGCCCGACACTTCTTTAACGAAGGGTTACCTGGGGCAGAAGAAGCTTGTGATCCTTTCCTCCTCAGCAGCAAGGCCCTCTCCTACAGCCCCCAGGGCAAGCCTGGCCTCACCCTTCATGCCTAGAGCTTCCAGCTCTGCTCGGAGGACACTCAGGCACTCTTTGCGTGAGCGACAGGAGCCCAGCAGTTTCTTGTAGTTTCGATGGGCACCACAGGCTCGAATGTATCGCTTTAGTCTCATCACAGCTGGGTGGTCTTGTCCATGGCGACCAGAGCCAGCCTAGCAAGGAAAGCCAGCTTAGTAAGACTGCTGGGCTTGAGTCAGGGTTTCCTTCCTCCCTAATAGTGGCCTCCCACCCCACCTTCACCCTCACCTTCACTCTTTTGGGCTCTGGACTTCCATCTGAGGAAGAAGAGGAGCTGCATGTCCTGCCTTTCCTGGAGCTCTTCTTGGAAGAGAGGCTCTTCCTTTCCCCTTCAGGGCTCTCCTCTGCCTCACTGTCACTTACCTCCCTCTCCAAGTCACTCTCACTGCCCGATTTGGTTATCTTTCCAGTGCCTTTAGCCATTGGTTTCACTGTCCAGGTGTCTTTTCTAGCCTCAATACTCCCACTCTGCCTTTCTCCACCCTCACATGAGGGCCTGTCCTTGCTCTTCCTCTGCACTGAGGGCTCTTCCTCTCCCCTGCTATCTCCACTGCTTACAACTTCTTTTACCGTCTCTTCTTCACTGTCCTCCGAGTCTCCCATACAGCTCCCCTCCTGCACAGCTGACCTTTTCCCTCCATTGGCTCTGGGTTTCCAATCCTCCTCGTCTTCTTCCTCTCTGATCTTTTTCTTCTTAGCTAGGATTTCCTCCTCACTCTCTTGTTCACTTTCCTGGTTGCTGTTAGCTCTTTTATTTCCCTGCACCTTCTGTGCTGTCCTCTGGGCAGGTTTTCCCTCACTGTCCTCACTTTCTTCCCTGGCCTGCTTCCTACTAACTGAAGCTTTGCCTGGTGTCTCCTTGTTCCTTGTCACAGGTTTCTTCCCAGTCCTGCCCTTGTACTCCTCCTCTTCCTCTTCACTGCTCTCTTCCTCCCAAACCTTACTTTTTCTGACAGAATATTCCCCCTCCTCCTCCACCTCACTGCTCTCCTTTTCCAATATCTTTGCAGTCAGGTCCTTCTGCCGTTCTTCATCGCTGCTTTCTCTGTTTTCAACAGCCTTCATTGAGGCCTGCTTTGGATTCTTTTCCTCCTTGGCTGGGCTGACTTCTGCTGCTGCCATCCCTTTGTTGCCTAGGAGTCCAAAGCGCTCTGGGCTGGAGGCTGCTGAGCTGGGTTCTGGAATATGGAGAGAAGAGAGAGTTCCTCCTGTCCCATCTCCCTCCACTTGGGATAGGTTGTCTTTACCCTTGCCCTGACAGGTAAAGGAAGGGTAGCAGGAAACACAGCTATCATTCCATCCCATTCATGGTTCCAGACTCACCAGCCTCACTCCCTCACTAATGCCTATGGATATAATACATGCACAAATACTTTTTTTTTTTTTTTTGCAGTTATTGGCAGGGGCCGGGTTAGAACTCGTCACCTCGGGTACATGGGGCCGGCACCCTACTCCTTTGAGGCACAGGTGCCGCCCCACAAATACTTTTTGAGTGAACCAGTGATGCAAAAGTCACCCATAGCAGGGAGGAGGCGCTAACCTGACTCTGAATTGAAGTGGAACCTTTTTGTCTCTGGTTCACTGCAGAGGGTGGAAGGCCTCTTCATCTTCTTGGTAAGGTCTAGTTTCTCTTCCCTGGTACCAGCTTCATCCCCCTGTGTGTGCATCCAGAGTGTAAAACACGTACTAAGGTTGCATTCTGCCCACCTCCTCTCAGGCCTCTCCTCCGCAGGAGACCCGCCTCCCATGGCCTAGGCTTGAGCCCGCACCTGCATCAGCAGCAGCTCCTCCTCCACTAGCCGCTTCAGAGCCTGCTTTTCCTCGGGTTTCAGGTGGTTGCAGCCCACGTGAGCCAAAAACCTCTGTCGCACGATGGACTGCGTGAGCGTGCTGCGGTGACATGGTGTCAACAGGGTGTCCCCGTCCTACCCTTGCCCCTTCCAAACCCAACTCCAACCCCCTGTGCACCTGAGGTCTGGACGGCCGCGGAATAAGCTGCGGGTGAACTCCTGCATCTCCTTCTCGCGCTCCATTTGCTCCTTCCGAGACTGGCAGTTCCCGCCTCTTTTTCTTGTTGGCCTCCGTCAGGGCATATGACAGCGGCTTCGGCACGCGCACTGCTAAGGCACCATGAGGTGAGGGGCCGTTGGACCTCGGTCGCGGGCCGCTTGGTCTGAGAACCTTGCCAGACAAAACTTGTTTTCTCTGGGAAGTTGGAGGTCTCGCGGCTCCCACCCTTTCTTAGAATGTATCGTTGTTAAAATTATTATAAACCGATTCAGCGCCAGCAACCTTTGGTGTAACGTAATCAGCCTGCGACGCAGCTTTCTTCCGTGACCACGGACACCAGCTAGACCACTGTTACTTCGAAACGCAGAACAAAAAGAGCATCCTCGCCAGGAAACTGGGAAGGTCTGGGAAAAATCATTCTATGGCTTCAAATCAATAGGCGCATTTGGAATCAGAAGTGGCGCCCTCCAGCTTCCGCCATCTTTGTGATGTCACCGCGTCACGGCTACGGCACCGTCAGCGAAGCCACTCGAAATTAACGTCCTTTCCCGGTATTCCCCAGGAAGGCGGCCCGTGCGGCCCTGCTCCCTGGCCGCGGAGCACGCTGGGAATTGTAGTCCTAGTCGGCACAGCCTTGCAGAGTCTACGGAAGTAGAGGCGTGAGAGGCCGGGCTGAGCCGGCTCGGTGTAGCGGACTCCAGGCGCTGGGGCGCCGCTCCCGGGCCGGTCATGAACGGGCCGGCGGACGGCGAAGTGGATTACAAAAAGAAATACCGGAACCTAAAGCGAAAGCTCAAGTTCCTTATCTACGTGAGTGCTTGCTGGTGTGGAAAGGTTGTGGGAAGTGAGGCCTGGCGCAGATAGGACCTCAGTTTACCCATGTTTAAAGGGAGTGGAGCGAGCTGTCCCGAATTGCGGAGCCCTTTACGGATGGCTGTTGACAACAGCGCCCACCTTATTCTTGATGCAGGAGCACGAGTGCTTTCAAGAGGAGCTAAGGAAGGCGCAGAGGAAATTGCTAAAGGTGTCTCGAGACAAGAGGTGAGGCACGTTGGGGGCCGGAGGGATGCGGCTCTTGGGGATCTGCATTTGGGCCCTCATCCTGGAATAGGGCCACAAATGCATGGGCTCTTTCAAGGATCCACTGGGCTAGCTAGAAGGGACAGGGACCCAGAAGAACATTGCTGTGATGGGAATAAACACTCTCGTTCTCCCACCTCTTCCCTCAGTTTCCTCCTAGACCGACTTCTGCAGTACGAGAACGTGGATGAAGACTCTTCTGGTGAGCAAGGTCATGAAATATTAGTGGAGAAAACATGGCTCCTGGCACTTCAGCAAGCTTCCTGGGCCCCTTGTAGGGTGTAGAAGATGAGGCACCCTCTAATTGTTCTTAAACCTAGTTGCTTGCCTTCCACCTCTGCTATTTTTTCATTCAAGTATTTACTGAGAAGCTGCTGTGTTTCAGACACTGCATTTTGCACAGGGGATACAGGCATAACAAAGATGGATGAAACCCTTGGCATCTTGTAATTTATATCACAGTTGCAGAGAATAAGTAAAAGAAGAAATAAACTAAAATTTAAGCAGCTGTAAGAACTTGAAGGGAGTGAAAACAGGTGGTGTGGTGACCATAGTGGAAGAGGAATTGACAAACTTTTTCTGCAAAGGGCCAGATAATAAATATTTTAGACTTTCTGGAATATACAGTCATTGATGCAACTACCAGTACTCAGCTCTTCTGTTGTGTGAAAGCATTTATGGTGGATATGTAAATAAGTGAGTATGGCAGTGTTCGATAAAACTTTATTTATAGATACTGAAATTTGAACTTCATTTTATTATCACATGAAGTATTATTTTTCTTTTGACGGCTTTCAATCACTTAAAAATGTAAAAGCCAGGCTGAGCTCAGTGGCTCACACCTGTAATCCCAATACTTGGGAGGCTGAGGTGGGTGGATTGCCTGAGCTCACAGGTTTGAGACCAGCCTGAGCCAGACTGAGACCTCATCTCTAAAAATAGCCAGGCATTGTGGCAGGCGCCTATAGTCCCAGCTACTTGGGAGGCTGAGGCAAGAGAATCGCTTGTGCCCCAGAGTTTGAGATTGCTGTGTGCTCTGACACCATGGTACTCTACCAAGGGTGACAAAGTGTAACTCTGTCTCAAAAAAAAGTAAAAGCCACTCTTAGCTTGCAGACCACACAGAAGCAGGCAACAACAACCTTTTAACAGAGTACTTAAGAAAGACCTTTTCAGGGAGTGATGTTTGAGGCTAGAACCTAGATAAAGAGAAGAAACCTACCTTATGAAGACATGAGCCAAAACTTCCCAGGCAGGATAACAAATGGAGATGCCATGAGGTAAGAATAGGCCAGGCTTGATTGAAGGACAGAAGGATAAAGCATATAGAGCTGTTTTTCAAGCTTTTCTCTGAGTATTGTTTACAATTAATTATATATTTTACATCATGATCAGGTCCTAATGTGTGTGTGTGTATATATATACATACTTAAAAAACAGTATTTAATGAAACATCTTTAAATAAGTCACTATATCCAATTCATTCTCATACTTTTCATATTGCTTTTTCCTCTTTCTAATGCTAGTTGCAAACCAATGAGTTGATTTAATGACCTACTAATGGATTGAAATCCACAGTTTGAAAAATTCCTAAAAGATGGGCATTTGTATGCCTTTTGCTGAGTGGAACCCTCATAAGCCATGTTACACGGCATTACTGCTGCAAGGTATCTTTAACACTAGTTTAGGGTAAGGATTAACAAACATCAGCCACCCATGTTTTTGTAAATGTTTTGTTGGAACATACAGCACTCATTTATTTATTTTAGGAGGATAACAAACAAAGGGAAATAGGCAGGGGCCATGTAGGGACAAACAGGTCATGGCAGAAAGTTTGACTTTCATTCTGGCCTCTCATTCCTTGCCTTAGGTATTCCAATTAACTTCCTATCTGAGGGAAACTTTAGGATAAGAGACATGAGAGAACCCAGCATGACACTTATCAGTGCAGTTTTGAGGCAAGCCATGACAAGTGAGAGTTGAAGGTTCTGAGACAGCCAGTGATTAACTGGGCCTAAAGGATTCTGGAAAACTTCTCAGAAGTGGTGGCATTTAATGTGCTTCTTAAAAGGATCTATTTGAGCAGAGAAATTGGGATCAGTTTCTATGATGTCTTGCAGTTGTTTATTACATGAAAGATGGGCCATCTAGGCAGAGTGCTGAACTAGGAAATAAATTTCTTTTTTGAGGAAATACATTAGTGTGATATGAAGAGTACAGTTTTGGGGGGAGACCAGAAAGGTAGATTGAGATCAGATTAAGAAACACCACAGGGGCTCGGCACCTGTAGCTCAGTGAGTAGGGCACCGGCCACATACACCGAAGCTGGCGGGTTCAAGCCTGGCCTGGGCCTGCTAAAGAACAATGACAAACTGCAACCAAAAGAATATCCAGGTGTTGTAGCGGGCACCCATAGTCCCAGCTGCATGGGAGGCTGAGGCAAGAGAATTGCTTAAGCCCAAGAGTTTGAGGTTGCAGTGAGCTGTGACACTACAGCACTCTACCAAGGGTGACATAGTGAGACTCTTGTCTCAAAAAAAAAAATAAAGAAGTGACAAATTCATGCAGGCAGAAGGGATATCATCACAAAAGATGTGGGAGGTTTATGTTTTAGGTCATTTTGGTGTTGGAGTGGACAGTGAGCAGCAGGGAGTGGTGAAACTGGTAAGGCAGGTGTTTTGACATGGAGCTGGCCTAAACTTGTGGCCATTACAATGGACAGCAGTGGATGAAAGTAGGAGAGATTTCAGGAGTAGATTAGCAGGACCCTGGCTATGAGGAGTGGAACACAGGCAGGAGCTGAAGACAGATTAGAGGCAAGTGAGGAGAAAGTGACACAAAATGGCTAAGGAGTCACAGACCTGAGTTCAGTCCCAGCCCATACCTTTCTGGGCCTTGGGGACCTCATGTGGCAAGTGGAAAGGATACCCTTACCTTCCTCCTTTGATGATTATGAAGACAGGGAAAGGTAGGGAGTGTGAAAGAGCCTGGCACATGATATATCTTTGGCAAGTGTGTTTGGGAAAAGCCAGAGCAGTAAGTGGGCTGAGGAAGCTGTGCCCCACCCCCCAAGAACAGAATGTGCCTGTGCTCTGGAGCGGCCTTCCCTCTTTTTCTTTTTGAGACAGAGCCTCAAGCTGTCACCCTGGGTAGAGTGCCTTGGCATCACAGCTCACAGCAATCTCCAAATCCTGGGCTCAAGTGAGTCTCCTGCCCCCGCCTCCCAAGTAGCTGGTACCACAGGCGCCCACCACAACGCCTGGTTATTTTTTGGTTGCAGCCATCGTTGTTTGGTGGGCCTGGGCTGGATTCAAACCCGCCACCTTAGGTGTATATGGCTGGCGCCTTAGCCACTTGAGCCACAGGCGCCCAGCCTCTTTATTTTTTCTTTAGGGATAGGGTCTTGCTGTCACTCAGGCAGGAATGCAGTGGCATGATCATAGCTCATTGCAGCCGCCAGCTCTTGGGCTCAGGTGATCTTCTCATCTCATCTTACTAAGTAGCACCACACTTGGATAATTTAAATTTTTTTGTGGAGAGGGGCTCTTGATGTGCCCAGGCTGATCTGGAACTCCTGGGCTCACAGCCTCCCAAAGTGCTAAAATTGAAGGTGTGAGCCCCCGTGCCCAGCTCCTCCAGAGCCCTGTAGTGTTGAGATTATATCCCTCTAAGGTAGGATAGACCCTTTAACTCCCACTGATCAGCTCCTCAACCCTTACAGATTCAGATGCCACTGCATCTTCGGATAACAGTGAGACCGAGGGAACACCCAAGTTGTCGGACACACCAGCCCCGAAGAGGTGAGAAGACATCATTCCTCTCTCTGGGAGAGGGGATGGGATGGGGCGGGGCACCTGAGCTTCTGAGCTACCTCTGATTCCCTTTCCTGTTCTTTCTCCAGGAAGAGAAGCCCTCCACTGGGGGGTACTCCCTCTCCCTCCAGCCTCTCCCTGCCTCCTTCAACAGGGTTTCCCCTGCAGTCTTCCGGGACCCCTTCCCCATACCTGAGCTCGGTGAGTTGGGGTGAAGGGTGGGAAGTGGTAAACTGAGATGCCTGGGAATAAATTGGGCGTCATTTGGGCCAAAGGTCTAGGCCTCAGGGTGAGGCCAGCCTAACTCTGGGGACATCTGTTTGGGTGTGGCCAGCAAGTGTCCCTTGGAGGGCATGAGTTGGGGCTGCCCACTTCTCTGTGTTGTAGGAATGGGGGACGGACATGACTGAGGAGAGCAGACCCCAGGACACAGTCCTGCTGTCCCCTCCCCTTCTGTTCTCAGGAGCCCTGGGAGCCACACTCATCACCATCTCTTTTGTTTTTCCATTCTTCCTTCTGTTTGCATTTCTTCCCTTCACCTCACCCTGATCCACTCCATTTCCCATCTCTACCCCCAACTCCTGCCTGCAGCTGGCTTCCCCCCTTTACCCCCCATTCCCTTCTGACTACCTGGCCCTGCAGCTGCCCGAGCCCAGCCCCCTGAGGCCCAAGCGGGAGAAACGGCCCCGCCTGCCCCGGAAACTCAAGGTACCCTGATTTGGGGACGTTAGGGAGGGGCCAGATCGGCAGGAGGACAGCCATCTGAGGGAGGCTCAAGACAGGCTGGGGTCCTGTTCAAGAACTTTGAACTGGGACAAAGTTCCAGTTGATTTGGGGCTTCTGAGGACCCAGCAAGCGCTAAGCACTGAGGGATAGGTCCGAGAAGTCCTGGCTCACAGGCCCAGAACTGAGAATGAGGCTGCCTAGTGTCCTGCCCTCCCGTCCAGGACTTGGGGTGAGGCTTGTTTTCTCAAATGTGAGTGTTCTGTGATGCCAGGCAGCCTTAGAGGTGGGGTGAAATTGTAGGATCTGGAATCAAGACTGCCCCAAGTTAAAAAACCTTGTGACCTTGAGCAGCTCTCTTCAACCCTCTGTAAAGTGAGCAAACTAGATGTGATCAGTGTGTGTTTGAGGAGCACCTACTGTGTACAGGCATTTTTGTAGGTGCTGCAGATACAATTGTGAACAAAACAAAAATTCCTGGCCTTCATGGAGCTTACATTTTAACAAGATAGAAAATAAGATAAATAGGCACCATGGTACAGAACAGAGTCAGGTGAAGGGACAGAGAGCTCTGGAGGGTGGGGCTGATGTTCAAGGTTGTCAGTTTGGAATGTTATTTGATCAGACTTAAAGGAAATGAGAGCAGCCATGTGGCTAACTGGGAATGAGTTTTGGACTGGGGTGGATCAACCAGTATAATAACCCTGAGGAGGGACCTGCTTGGCTTGTGCAAAGATCTGGAAGGAGTCTCTGTGATGGGAAGAGAATAAGGAGAAGAGTGGGCAGGGGGCCTGGCAGAGACCTGAGAGCTGGGCCTCAGAGGTATGGGAAAGCCTTGACTTGTGCTTTGGATCAGATGTGGTATTGGAGAAGGTTGAGCAGAGAGGGAGTTTGGTCTAATTTACATTTTAACAAAATTGCTGATGCTGCAGTATTTAGAGTAGATTGAATGCAGGGGTCAGGGTGAGTCAGGAAGGAAGGGAGGAGGCTATCACCCTGCATGAGAATCTGTGCAGAGGTTAAAGGTAGTCCCTGGAGCCATTTCAAAGAACAAGCTGCAGGAGCACCTAAGAGTCCAGCTCAGGTTGTACAAGAAAAGAGGCAAAGGTGATGCCAGGGTTTTTAGCCTCAGCTACTGGAGGAGTGGAATTGCCTTTTTTCTGAGATGAAGAGAGCAGGTGGGAGGAGCAGGTTTTGGAGGAAAGACAAGGAGTTTGGTTATGGACATGCTGAGATGCCATCTGGAAATGCCAGTGATGACTGGGTTCACGGGGATGACATTGGGAACTGGCAGCATGGAGATAGATGCACCCCTCAGGTGGGTGAGAGTGTGGGTGGAGAAGAGGGGGCTGCTCCCTAGCCCCAGGCTGATGAAGAGGGCGAGCTGAGGATACAGAGTGCCCTTCTATCTCTGATTCAAAGTTCAGTAGGGGGCTGGGAGTGGTGGTTCATGCATGTAATCCTAGCTCTCTGTTGAGGCCTAGGTGGAACAATCTTTGAGACTAGTTCAAGACCAGCCTGAGCAAGAGCGAGACCCCATCTCTACAAAAAATATTAAAAAATTATCTAGGCATGGTGACGTGTGCCTGTAGTCCCACCTACTTGGGAAGCTGAGGCAGGAGGATTGCTTGAGCCCAGGAGTTTAAATTTACTATGAGCTATGATAATGCCATAGCACTCCAACAAGGGACAATGAGCAAGACCCTGTCTCAAAAAAAAGTTGAGTAGGGACTGGGCTGGACAGCTTTCAAGACTGGATGGAGCCAGAAGCAAGATGGGAGGCATGTTTATGGTGGTTAAGGAGTTTGGGTTCTAGAGTTCAAATTCCAGCACTGCCATTTACTCCCTGAGTTACTTAAGCTCCTGATCCTGAAAAATGGGGGCAATAATACTAGCCCTTGCTTTTCTTAGCAGGGTTTTTGCTTTTGGCCCAGAGGGCAGAGTGGTGGAGAAGGCCCAGGGCAGGAAGAAAGAGTATGGCACCATGTGGGCAGGACTGCTTGTGGCTTTCTGGCTGGTGCTGGGTCCTGCAGTGGAGCACTGACAGGGAGCTAAGTTCTGGACAATTAGGAGAGAAATGTGTGCTGGGAAGGGGACCCCGGTCAATGACTGTGCAAATGGGGAGATGAGTAATAAATTGGGGAAGATTTCAAAAAAGGGAATATTTGATCCCAGGGTGAGTGAGATTTGGATATTCCAGGATGAAGTCATCATGGAAAGGGGGACGGGGACACAAGTTAAAGTGTTTGGGGCCAGGCACAGTGGTTCATGCCTATAATCCCAGCACTCTGGGAGGCCAAGGCGAGTGGATTGCTTGAGCTCAGGATTTCGAGACTAGCCTATGCAAGAACGAGACCCCCATCTCTGCTAAAAATAGAAAAACTGAGGAAAGAGGATTGCTTGAACCCAAGAGCTTGAGGTTGCTGTGAGCTATGATGTCATGTACTCTACTCAGGGTACCTGCTTGAGACTATGTCAAAAAAATTAAGTGTTGTTTGGGCTAGAGCTGGGTTACTGAGTAAAACAACATTGATCAAGAAGTAGGGTAGGGTGAGGTTACAGGTGCCTGCATGCCCAGAATCAGGAGTCTGCCTGCCACCCAAGAGGGAGTGGGAATCCCTGAAGTTTCTGGAGGACTTGGCAAGTCTGAGCAGAGGTGGGGCAACTGTGAAGACTGAAGTAGGTCACTTGAAGTTTGGGCCAGAGTCAGATTTGGCTGGGTTGGAATCTCAGCTTTTCCTCATACTCACCATGTCCTTGGGCATGTCCTTTAATTCTTTGAGCCTCAGCTTCTTTGTTTAGTGGAGCCATTGTGAAGGACATGAGTTAAGGGGGTAGAAAACACTGAGCCCAGAGCCTGGCCCCTGGTCAGCCACAGGTAAACATTAACTGCCATGACTCATATTGAGGACACCATTGAGTAAGTTCAGGCAAGGGCAGGACATGGGGAATAGGGGCAGGATGGAGTGGTGGGAGCCAGAGGACAGGGTAGACCTCGGGCAGCTATCTGCTTTGGTTGTGCATGTTCATCTGCTCCTGTGTGTACTGAGTTCAGGAGCACTGTTCAGAGCTGGGATCCTTGATGGTTATCAGTCCTGCCAGGCTCTGTACCAAAGGTCTGAATCATGCTGGCTCCCCATGGCACCCCAGGGCCAGACTGGACACTGCCCAGCAGAACCCTTGTGCGCCTGTTCCTTCGGGCCTTCATCTCCAAGTCTCAGTGTCCACCTCTGGCACTTGACCTCTCCTCCCTCCTATCATGTCCTAAAGGTTGAAGTTCATTAACAGAAATCACCTGACACATAGTAGGGGCTCAGCTTATGCCCTCAGGCAAAGCATGGTGGCTGTCAGAAACCAGAGCCCTCCATGGGGAGGATTTGGCAGAGTGGGGCTGGAGGGTTGGGCAGGAGAGTGGCCACTTCCTGGCCTCAGAGGACAAAAGCAGAACTTTTGACAACTAGAGAAGGATGCCCCAGGTGGAGGGGCTGGCCTGTTGTCAGGCATGTTGCACTGCCTGTCCATAGGGCAGTGAGGAGCCTGAGGACCCTGAGTGGAAGAATGACATGCTCAGGTTTGTGTTTTAGAGAGATCACTCTGGCTGCAGTGTGGAGGAGGAGCTGGATCTGGGAGAGGCTGAAGGCAGGGAGTCCAGTTAGGAGGCTGGTACCATAGCACAGGTGAGCTGAGAGGAGGGCCTGGCCTAGGCCAGTGGCTGCGGGGATTCCAAGGAGGGGCCCGACCAAGATACAATAAAAGTTCCTGGGGGGCAAAGAAGCTGCCCAGGTTCCTGGCTCGGGTGGCCCGCAGTATTCTCCACTGAAACAGTGAATCCCACCCTGGAGGAGGTAGAAAGCAGCCAGTGGTGGCAAGCAGTATCTGAGGTGCCCAGAGGCAGGCAGGCTCTCCAGCCTGACTGTGGTGTTAACTGCTGTTACAGCAGCAGCAGCTAAGGTGCCTCCCTGGACAGGGCAGGGCCCAGGCTTTCCCTCCTGGTTTCCTATAAGACCTCCACTCCATCTCACCTCCATTACCACCCTTCACCCCCCAGGCACTTGCTGGTTTGAGATTCTGAAGGGGCTGAGATAGGGCAGGGTCCCAAATCCAGGCTGTGCTTACTGCCCCATTCTGTCCCCCAGAGTTGCCCTGGGGGAGTCAGTGCCCTGCCTCCTGGAGGTTTTAGTGCCTCCCTGATGAGCCCTCCCTGTGTTTCTTCCCCTGCTACAGATGGCGGTGGGACCCCCAGACTGTCCTGTGGGAGGGCCGCTGACCTTCCCTGGCCGGGGTTCTGGGGCCGGGGTTGGGGCAGCCCTGACTCCCCTCCCGCCCCCCAAGATGCACCCTCCCACAATCCTGAGCACCGTCCCTCGGCAGATGTTCAGCGATGCAGGCAGCGGGGATGATGCCCTGGATGGGGATGATGACCTGGTGATTGACATCCCGGAGTGACCACCTGCTGCTGTCTGCCCAGCACCCCCTTCCCCCTGCCAGCACATGCCAAGTCCCCAGCTTCCTCAGAGAAGTTTATTGGTGCCCAGTTGCCATGCTTCGGCCACTGACATGATCAGAAAAGGCGTAAACATGCACGAACGTCCCCCAGGAAAGTGGCAGGGGCCCTGCCTTCACATCCCAACCCCATCCAGGGGACAGTTATTTAGATGAGTGGCCAGGAGCATCTGCCACCTCTTGGGGAGGCAGAGACCCCAAAGTGGCCACCCCTTTAAAAGGGCAGCTATATAGGGCTAGGTTTTGTTTTGTTTTTTTAAATGAAGATTCTGTATTAAAGAAGTGTCTCTGGTTTTTTTTGTCCTTTTCTGTTTTGGAAACATCTTCCTCTGAACCTCCCCTAATCCGCCCTCCTCCCTGTGAGGGGAGGGGACGGGCAGCATGGAGAGGCAGGAGAGAGGAGCCATAGGAGTTGGGGGGCTTGGAGCAGAGGCTCTGGCAGCACCCCCACAGGTGTGGAGAGCATGGGTGATTTGCATATTTGCAGGTATTAGCAAGTCAGGCAGGAGGAAGTTTGCATATGTGAACATAGATCTCCACAGTCCCTCACAAGAAGACAGACCCACGGTCACAGAGACTCTCACAAAAAATAAGACAAGTAGTGCGGGGCAGGGGCATCCCACCCCGTGTAAACGTGCAACACACTCGTGCAAAGGTTGGGTACTGGACCCAACCAGAAGGGCCCACTGGGCAGCTGTGGTCCATTCAGGTGGAAGGCAGAGCCCCAGCTGCTGGGGGCAGCTCACTAGTCAGGGTGTGCCAGCGCTCCAGGGCTGTGTCCAGCTGCTGCAGGCAGTCACTCCAGTGCTTTCGAGCCTCACCACGGGCTCCCAGCCCCAGGGACACACCACCTGGGAGGGGGGCAGGCAGAGTCAGGACCCTCTTCCTGTGAGTCACCCTCCCCCAGCACCACATAGCCAGGCTCCTCCCTTACCGATGAAGTCATTGGATTTGCCAATGTCATAGTCCCAGACTGTGACTTCCAGCGTCTTGGTGGCCAGAGTGGTGAGCTCCATCTCGTAGAAGAACTCCTGGGGACAAGGCAAGCCGCACCTTCCATGAAGTCCTCTCCCCTCTGCGTACCACCAGCCCACCTGGATTCTAGTCCATGCCCTGCCTACCTCATTAAATTCTGGATTTAGGGTCTTCTTCTTCACACATGTCTTATGCTTGGATTTCTTATCCACATCCGGTCTCAGGTACCTAAAAGTGGGGTGGAGAGAGGGGAGTCATGTGGTTAGGGACAAGCCCCAAAGGAATATGGGTCAGGGCTCAGACTCCCTGGGGAGGGTAGAACAGGCCTTAGAGTGAGGGCTCACGTCTTAACATAGGGGTCGGAGTAGCCATTGACGTCCATGGCAGCCAGGTGGGCACAGCGGACAATGCCCACCAGCAGTCCCCGGTGCCGAGAGCTGTAGCTGAGGCTCAGCAGGATGCGGCCACGCTCTTCTAGCAGCCCAGGCCCCTGCTCTGCCTGTTCCAGCTGCATGGGACAGATGAAGGGGTCAGCCTAGCCTGGGTTTTACCACGCCTCCCACCCAGATACAGTCCCTGTGAGGTGCCTCACCTCCTTCAGATAACAGGAAATGCCCCTCAACGCTGCTGACATGGAAGAGGGTGAAGCCAGCTGAGGAGGCAAAGAGAAAGTTCTGAAAACTTGGCCTTTCCAGAGCCCCTTCCCCCTGGTGCCTCTGCAGCCCCCACACTGACCGGGACCTGGCGCTCAAGGCAGATGTTAAAATGCTTCTTCTGTGAAGGCTTGAGGCGGCGGAGGGGTACTCGGATCTCCCCAATAAACTCATTGTGGCTCAGTTTGTCCTCATCACAGACAGTGATCCTGGTAGGGAACTGCAGGGTCAGGGCCCCCTGGGGTCCTTAGCCCTGCTCCAATATGGGAGAGAGATCTTCAGACCTATCTCAGCTCTCCCCTAAATACATAGTACTTCCCACTACATCTGGAAAACTGGGCTGGAGCCTGAGAGGGACAATTTGCATTTTCCTCTGCCCCTCCTGTTCCAGCAGCTCAGGCTGTCCCTGGTCCATGAGGAAGGAAGGACCTGCTCAGCCACTACAAGAAGCCCTCACAAATCATGGGGACCATCCTACTATCTGCCTTCAGGAAGGGTCTGACTGAAGGCCACAGAGCAGGTGTTGGTGGATATGTCCACAGATACAGGCTATAAGAGGTAGAAGAGCCTTGAGCAGCCAGACAAGGACTCCACATGTCTTCGGGCCCTCCTGTCCTATGCATGGAGCAGGGAGCCAACCTGCAGGGACATAATGAGCCCAGTGATGAAAAATAATTGCTTTGACTTTGGTAGCCTCTACACTGCTTCTGCTGTGACCTGCTGTTGTGATGGGTAGCTGTGACATCGGTGTTCAAAACCCAGCCCTGCTACTTTTAAGCCACCTGTGTGACCTTGGGCAAGTCATTCAATCTCCCAAAGCCCCAATGGCCAACTGTAAAAGGAAGATAATCAAATGAAAGAAAAATGTTTACATTAATGCTTAGCCAAGGGCTGGGCACTAGTGAACACTTATTTTAGGCCTCACTCCTTCACCTCTGGAACATGCGGCTAGCCTTTCTGGTACTCCCTCTTCCCCCACACACACACACTCCCGACCCCAGCCTACTCATACACCCTGCACCAAGGTAAGCTTTAAAACAGCCCCGATCGTGCCCCTTCCCTGATGCAAATCCTTCTGTGGCTACCTATTGCCAGACAACAAAGGAAGAGGTCTCTTTACTGCCCTCCACTACCTTTGAGGGAATTCTCAAGTCCCCATCTCCTGGGATGATGGAGTAGGTTCCCTGTGCCTGAAGACTTCATTCCCTAGAGATTTTAGAGGAACTCAGGGAATAGAAGGCATAGACCTAAGCTGCATAGGTCTGACTTCACCCCAGGGCTCTGAGAAAGGGTCTCCATGACCAGTGATAGGTTTCAGAAGACAGTGGACTGAGGCTCAAATGAGTAGATTTAGACTGGTAGAGAAGGTGATTTCCAGAGGGAAGAGACACAACAGGACACAGTTCCAGGGCTATGTTCAGGCCTGTAATCAGCACTCTGGGAGGCCAAGGCGGGTGGATTACCTGAGCTCACAGGTTCCAGACCAGCCTAAGCCAGAGGGAGACATCGTCTAAATACAGCTGGGCATTGTGGCGGGCACCTGTAGTCTCAGCTACTTGGGAGGCTGATGCAAGAGAATCACTTGAGCCCAAGAGTTTGAGGTTGCTCTGAGCTATGATGCCACAGCACTCTACCGAGGGCAACAAAGTGAGACTCTGTCTCAAAAAATAAAAATAAAAAAGGGCATCGCCTGTGGCTCAGTGGGTAGGGCACTGGCCTCATATACCGAGGGTGGCGGGTTTGAACCCAGCCCTGGCCAAACTGCAACAGAAAATAGCTGGGCACTGTGGCAGGTGCCTGTAGTCCCAGCTACTGGGGAGGCTGAGGCAAGAGAATCGCTTGAGCCCCAGGAGTTTGAGGTTGTTGTAAGCTGTGACACCACAGCACCCTACCGAGGGTGATAAAGTAAGACTTTGTCTTGGAAAAAAAATAAAATAATAAATAAATAAACTGGTCAGTCAGAAGAAGGCAGTCTTCTCAAGAACGGTAAGAGATATTTGGGGGGCAGCAATGCTAGGGAATACTTTGCCTGCTGCTGGAGAGGATGGGGAGCTACTAATTGTTCTTGAGCTTCGGAGGAGGGGGGCATAGATCAATCAACCGGAAAAGGTTACAGTGACTACTGTTCCAGAGGAGGTGCTAAGCTGGAGTCCTTCACATTGGGGAGAATGAGCCCTCACCTGAGCACCTTGTGAGTGATGTCATCATCTGTGATTCCACTGTACATCAGATCTTCATTCCACACAGGATTCAGCGTGTTCCTCTGAGTCTTCGTTTTTAGCTTATTGGCCTGGGGTATGGGGATGAAGGGTTCTGAATATTTGTCTCCCAAACCCACAGAGGCTGAGGCCTTCTAGAATAGACGACCCCGCCCCACCCTGTCAGCTGGGCCAGGCACTTGGGGAGAGAGGAGGCTATTACCTTGCAGGCTCCAGGCAGCAAGTGCAGCTTGACGTAGGGGTCTGCGAGCCCATTGAAATCCATGGGCTTGAGGCCCTGGAGAGGAATGCAGGGAAGAGGGCTATGGGCTCCCAACCTCTCTCCTTCCCTCCCTCCATGGAGCTGGCCCCCTGAGGTTTGCAGAGCCCGAAGGAGGGTGCTGGGGCAGGGAGGAAAGGAGTAGGCATTGGGCCTGGGGAAGGGAAGGACGAATGGAAAGCCACCACCCTTCCTGAAGCAGGAGGCAAACAGGGCTAGGACTTGGGAGGCAGGGAGTGCCCACCTTGGCCCTGAGGATTCTACAGTGCAGAGTGCAGGAGGCCTGGTCGTAGAGAAGGTCAAACTCCAGCATGCCCAGGGCAGCTGGAGAGAGGGGAAAGGTAGTATGAGTCTGTGTGTGAAGGCAAGTATGTGTGAGATCAGCTGGAGGCACGGGGTGTGCGTCTCCATCTCCATCAGCCCAAGAGTGTGTGTGCAAGAGGCTGAGTGGGCATGTGCATGTGTGTGTGCCTCTGGGTCCCTGGCTCGGCCGCAACTGGAGCTGTGTGGGTGGTGGAGTGTCTCAGCAGAAATATTGAATATTGAGCCTTTCTGAAGCTGTAATCTCCACACACTGACTGCAGCTGTGGCAGCAGTCCCCACTGTCCCCACCACCACCATGCACACCCAGCAGGGCCCCTTCCCTCCCCACAAGCCTGGAGGCCCCTTTGCACCCCCAGACTCACTGGTATCATCTGAGTCATAGCTGTCCAGTTCAGCTCCATCCTCAGGCGTGGTGGCCCCAAGGAGGGCCACAGGGGGGGCCAGAGCCAGCGGAGCCAGATGAGCAGGGGCCTCCCCGAAGCCCCCGCCACCCCCTTCAGGTCCTGGTCCCCAGCGGGGGAAGTAGTCAGAGATCTGGCGGATGGGCCGGATGGGCCCGGGGCACACGTTGATGGCCATGTGCTCCTGGATGTTGATGGTCATGCGGTCGCCCCTGCGGCCCCTCATGAAGCACCCCTGGCTGGGGGAGGGGGTGTGAGCAAGCCTGAGCCCAGATTGCCTTTTCATACCTACCATTGGTAGCTGAGGGCACAGCAGTAACCTCTTTGGTCTGTGGGGCCCTCACTGGTCTCCCTTCCTAGGTGTCAAGGGACAGGGTGGCCTGAGCCAGAGGTGCAAGCAGGAGGCCTAGCCCTCCAGTAGCCCAGGCCTTACTGCACAGGGGCCAGGCAACCAGCCCACTCCCAGGAGACAGCCCTCTTGCCCACCTACCACTAGGTTGTTCTTCTGTCATATTCCCAGCTCCTTCCTCTCATTCTGAGCTCCTGTCTGCCCCGGAACTCTAACTACTCCAAGCGTCTCCATAGGTCCCCACCTGTCTCTCTGAGGCTCTGTCCATCCTCTGCACCAAGCGCTGGTCTGATTAGGTTATCAACCAGCCCTCTAGGCTTCACTTCCCACTGTCCCTTTATTCAAGCCCAAGGTCTGTCAGCTTGTAGGGTTCCCGCCCCCTTTCCGCAGCCCCCGGTGGAGACCCCTGCCTCAGATGCCTCCTCCGGAGCTTGGCTCCCCAGGAGCGCCAGAAATTGCAGCAGCAGGAGAGCCAAACACCCCCGGAGTGCAGCAGGCTAAGGCGCTGCCCCTCACCCTCACGCCCCAGCTGGCCCAGCCCCCTGCACCTGTCTCTGCCTCCAACAGGTGCCCAGGCACGGGGTAGGGGCCGGCGGGTGCAGGCTGGGCGGTGGCGGCGGGCGATTCCCAGGGCTGCCGGCGAGAAGAGCGCGAGTCCGGCTGTGCGACCGAGAGCAGGGAGCGCAGAGAAAGTGCGGGGAGGAGGGTGAGCGAGGTGGAGGCGCCGATGCCGCCGGCGCAGGCGGCGGAGGGGCGGAAAGAGGGGTGGGACTCTCCCGCTCACACCCGGCGCCCGCCTGGGCACTCTCGGGAGCGCACACGCCGACACGAGTGCCCGCGCGCGCGCACACGCTCGTGGGCACACACTCGTGTGCCCGGGCACTCCCGCACGCACACCCCATACCCACGTGTGCACGTTCACACACATACACAAACACAGACACAAGCTGACACACTTACACGGAGAACTTCGTATACTTCGTATACTTCGTTTGCATTCGCAAACACGCGGGCTCCTGCGCCACCAGGAACCCGCAGCAAGATTACCGGGTCTTCCCCAACTCCTCCCAGGAGACCCAGGCCCGCGCCACCCCTGCGGAGCCCTCGGCACCTCCCTCCCTCGCTTTTTCCCTTCTCTTCCCGGTGTCTCCGGGGCTGACCTCCGGCCTAGTTGCCATGGAGACACCAGCTCTCCTCCTGCGCCTCCTCATGCCCCTCCCCCGCAGAAAGCGCGGGACGTCCACTCGCCCCCTCCCCAGATCAGTAGAGGCGGGGCCGTGGGGTGGGGCTTAGAGATCCGCAGTGACCTACGAGAGGGCAGGGCCGGGGATCCGATCCACCTGCGGTGTCCGGCCTCGGATCTCAGGGTCCTGGATGCGGCTGGGGAGCTTCACAGTCTGAGGGAGGAGACAGAGGCCTGAGGCTGTGGCATCTCCCATACCTCCTCCCTTTGGTTGTTCAGGAGTCTCTACCTGTGACCCAAATCAATTCCCTGGGAAAAGCGTTCCCCCCTTCCCAGGTATGTCATCTCCTTTGGGGATCCACCCTCCCCCCCGCCCCCAGCGCAATCGCAAGTTCTGTCTTGCAGGTGGGGAGTGGGGTCAGAGAAAGTAAGACGGCAGGTTTAGGGCATTCAGAGCCAAGCTGACTCTGAATGCCCAAAGCCTTGTCCTCCTCTCTGCCATTTCTCACGGGAACCCTGCCACCCCCATGCCTGCCACCAGCCTGTCAGTCTGGCCCTAGCCTTTGGTCTCTTTTGCCCGAAACTTACCATCCCAGAAAGATAAAGGACCTCATCATCTTGCTGCCCACTGCCAGCTCCCATCAGTTACCTGCAATTCCTAGAAACAACAGTTCCTTGATTTCTTAGCCTCTGGACCTTGACTCATGTGCGCTCCTTTAGCTGGGAGATCTTCCTGCCCTTCCTTCAGGAATCATCTCGATCACCTTTTCCTTAGAGCCTTCCTGGAGCACCCTCCTCTGCCCCCTCAGCTTCCAGCACTAGCTTGAATTCAGCTCTGCCCGCACTGTTTTGGCTGTGCCTCCCCCACCAGCCCGGAGTTCCACAGCAAGCAGAGGCTGAATCATCTTCAAGTCCCTAGTGCCCTAAACCGAGCCTGGCATTAAGTCACCATTGCTAAGTCTTGTCATTTAAAAGAGAGAAATGTGATTATGCAATAAGGTAAAATATACGTAACACTAACCTTACACTTAAAAATGGTTAAAGATGTTAGCCAGGTGTATTGGTGGGCTCCTGTAGTCCCAACTACTTGGGAGGCTGAGGCAGGATGGTTTGAACCTAGGAGTTTGAGGTTGCTGTGAGCTAGGCTGATGTAGAGGCAGGCACTCTAGCCTAGGGCAACAGAGTGAGACTGTCTCCAAAAAAAGGGTTAAAGAGGTGAGTTTTGTTATGCATATTTACCACAATTTATTTATTTATTTGAGACAGTCATACTCCATGGCCCTGGGTTGAGTGCTATGGCAACATAGCTCACAGCAACCTCAAACTCTTGGGCTCCAGCAATTCTCTTGCCTCAGCCTCCCAAGTAGCTGGGACTACAGGCACCGGCCACAACACCCGGCTATTTTTAGAGATGAGACCTCCATCTTGCTCAGGCTGGTTTTGAACTCCTGAGCTCAAGCAATCTGCCCACCTCGGCCTTCCAGAGCACTGGGATTACAGGCATGAGCCACCACGCCAGCTCTCACAGTTTTTTTTTTTTTTT